TCCAAAGATTCATATGATGATAACTGGTGGTGCCTACTAGTATGGTAGGCAGGGTTGTTTGACTTGTTTCCCATTTGGGGCTATTGTGGACCATCCAAGTCTTTGGATAGCTGTTCACTGTACCCAGAGATTTAGGCTTGGCTGACTGTGAATACAGTCTGGGATTGCAGACTGTGGTATGGCCTGATGCTTGTATTGTGTGGTGGAGCTGTGGGCCCTGCTTCCAAACCAAGTATTAGAATCGCTTCATGGGCAGAGTTTACAGTGGGACCCAGTAGGACCTCTGCACTGAATCACGAGCCCCAAAAGAGGCCCTTGCCATCGAGATTTCACTGCTAGGTATGTGTTGCAGATGCTGGAGAAGCAGCTACTTCACTGCTACTGATGTCACCTGAAACTTAGAGACAAGAGCTCTTAAAAGCCAGGGTAGAGCTCAATGGTAGAGCGCTTCCCCAACTTGAGCAAGTCCCAGGTTCAATGTCCCCACCCCCTGCCACCGGAAAAAAAGAATAAGCTGAACCTAGGAACTGCCCACTTAAGAATCTGCAGCTCAGATAATTCCAGCAGCCTCACATTCCAATTATCCTCAGTCACAATCCCAAATGCCAGTGCCTGTCATCAACTCCTCTTTTGTAACCCCTGAGCCATTTCCTAGCAACATCTTCATCCACTGTCATCTCCCTGAGACCTTTGCCCAGCCTTATCTCAAATATCTTGCCTCTTTGTGGAGAAAATCTTCAGCTATCTCCAGATCTGAACTCAGAGGAACCTCTGGCTATCTCCTCCCTTTTCCTGAGAGTTATCTTTCCTGAAAAGAGGCCACTTCCTCTCTAGCAGAGGGAGCACATTTTTCAAACTCAAGTAACTTGGGAACTTGTTCCAAAGCCAGTATCTTGTTCTAAACTTAGTACCTTGGGGCTAGGCCTAGCAGGAACCTTTTCCTTCTTATGGATACTTCTAGATTATTCTGTTTTCTTTCTTCTCAAGACTATTACCTTTTTTTTTTTTTTTTTTTTTTTAAGCATTGGGGATCAAACCCATGTTCTCTCATATGCTGGGCAAGTGCTCAACCACTGAGCTACAACTCCCAGCCCAGAAAAACTTGCTAAGTCTGGGCCTGAACTTTCAATCCCCTTGCCTTAGTGTTCTGGCTAAGTGTCTTTTCTAGGGTTTGTTTTATTATTGTCTCAGATAGAATCTTGCTGTATTGTTGTGGCTAGTCTCTAACTCCTGTGTTCAAGCCATCTGACTGCCTCAGCTTCCTGAGTCCTGTGATTATAGACATGTACCACTGACAAATTCTTTAATTTTTTTCATGGAAAAGGTCCCAGATGTCCACATTATTTTATCCTCAGACCTCCATGGTCTCTCCCTAGACTTTGTCCTCACTTGGATAAACAAATACAGTAAATATTTATGAATCAGAACACACCAAGCTCCTGCTCAAATAGATACTCTGCAGAATCAAGGTATCCACATGTATCCTGAAAGAGAGGCTTTGTTGAAGAAAACATGTGGCTCAAAATGACTATTCTAATAACGTTCAGAAGGGTCATAAGAACATCCCAGAGAATTCTTCACAGGTATTATATTTTCAAAAACCAGAGCAAAATCATTCAGAGCCTAACACACACACACACACACACACACACACACACACACACCCTTTTAATACTCATAGATACCAGTTGTGGAGTACGCACTTAATCAGATGTTCTCTCAAATACACATTCCTAGCTCAAATTCAGCCCTTGGCACCCCCTGTCCAACCCACTCCCCTGCCTTATTTCCTGCATACCACTCGCCTTTATTTTGGATACTTTTTATTGTCTGTCAGCAAGTCATCCCACGCCAACTCAGATGTGAGCTCTATGAAGGGAAGGATTTCTACTTCTGTTTCTATTTATATATTTATTTATCCCTTGCTGTTTTGAACCCTTCTCCCAACACACAGCATTGGAATTCTTTCCTAAAGTTGTGTCATCACCAGGCACTGTGGAACACTCATGTAATTCCAGCACTTGGCAGATTGAGGCAGGAGTATTGCCTGGAGCGCAAGGCCAGGCTGTGCTACCTACCAAGATTTCATCTCAAAAAAAGAAGAAAAAACAGTTGGGTCACCATGAAAGAAATAACCAAGATGAAAGCTGATCATTTCATGGTTTTTATTATTTGCTGTCAGATGGTCCAGCAAAGATATTATAATAGTCTGCAGTAAGTAACGTATAAATGTACCTGCTTCATCAAAGCCCCTACAGCATGTGTGTGTTTTTGCACTAGGGATTGAACCCAGGGCCTTTGCACTGGGCCACATCCCCAACCCTTTATTTATTTTTGTCTTTTTGAAACAGGGTCTCACTATGCAGTTCAGGCTGGCCTTGAACTCACTTAGGAGCTCAGGCTAGCCTCGAACTTGTAGCAATCCTTGTGCCTCAGCTTCCCAAGTGCTGGGCTTATGGGCATACACCACCACATCCAGCTCCCCCAACCCTTCAAACTCACTAAGTCTCACTAAATCTCACTAATCCAACTTCCTGCTTCAGCCTCCTAGAGTGCTGCAATTACAGGCATGTGCCTCTATGCCCAGCCAAGTTTTATTAGTTTACCTTAGTGAATAGGTAGGAAACAGTATCCCTGTGTTTTTTCATTTTAACATTCTTTGCTTATTATTAAAATCAAATCCCCCCCCCCAGGAAAACACACTAAACTCTTTATATTTTACTTCCTCTTGTATCAACTGTCTGCTCACATCCCTTGATTCTTTTTCTTTTCTTTTTTTTTTTTTTTTCCTCCCTGATCCTTTCAAAAAGCCTTGCAGTGTGTGAACTTTGGCTGGAACAACAGATAATATATCAGCCATTTGCAGCGTGTGGATTCTGATCCTGCTGTTTCTAGCAAGGGACTTCACTTGTGATTGTGGTATTTAGGAAAGTGAAAAGAACTTTAGCCCAGAGATCTTAAGTTGCCACTATTTCCTTCTGTCACCTTTAAACAAATGACCAGGTAGAAAAGATGGAGCAAGGAGGAAGATTGCTCCACCGGGCAGGAGGAGGAGCTTGTTGCAACCTGCAGGTTTCAACAGTCTCTCCTGGTTCAAAAGCCTGAATCAGGCTTGAATCAGTTGGATTCTCTGACTCACTCCTCAGATCTCCATCTAGATGAAGTCTTACAAGCAGGAACATTCCTTAGATCATACATTTTCCAGGTCTTTTGAGATTGGAGTTTATGTTACACAGACTCTGGGCTCAGTTGATCTTCCTGCCTCAGCCTCCTGAATAGCTGGGATTACAGTGTCTGTCACTGGCTCCAACTTGTCCAGTACTTTGCTGTAAGATAGCTGTTTTAGACATATTTATTTATTTATTTTTGTGGAACCGGGGATTGAACTCAGGCCCTTGTGCTTGCCAGGGAAGCGCTTATTCCACTGAGCCATCTCCCGGCCCCAAGATAGCTGTTTTAGGTACCATGCAGCAGGACAGAAGTGGTTTCTGTCATTATAACTGAGATGATACAGTAGTTTTCCTTTTTTCTCCCCAAACTTTATATTTAGTCATCTGCTAGATTTTGCCTTTTATCTGCCCGTAGTTTCTTTCTTTCTCCCTTTCTTTCTTTTGTATTTTAGGGGAGGGTCTACAGGGTGTTCAGGGTCTCACTACTAGCTTGGACTCCTAGTGATCTGCCTGTTTACAGCCTCCCAAGAGCTGGGATTGCAGGTGCACACCACCACGCCCAGTCTCAGTTGCTGTCTCAGCATGCCTCAGGGGTGGGGCCAGCACGGCAGGCTGGGGGATCAAACCCCTGGCCCCTGCGCCTGCTTGCAGGCGCTTTAATCCGCTGAGCTATTTGGCCAGCCTCTGCCCGTCGCTCTGGACACCCATGCTGCTATCACCTTAGCACAAGGCCCAGCTTGCTCTCACTAAGTTGCTACATTGGCCCAGCTGGGCTCAAACTTGTGCTCTTCCTGCCTCAGCTTCCCAGAGTGTTGGGATTACAGGCATGTGCCACTATACCTGGCTACAAAAAACTTTCTTAAAATTCTATATATCATTTCTCAATCCCTCCTCCTGAGTACTCTGTTCTTACCTGTTAGCTTCTCAAATTGTTTTACAGCAGCAGAGTAACAGGTGAAAGGTATTTCACCTAATCAGCCAAAGCAATTTTTGCTCTCCACCCTAAAACTTTCCCTCTCTACAAGTTTCCTCCAGCTATCTTCTGCTCCAGACAGTCCTGCCTCTTTTTCACCCTTCCTTTTTGTTAATTTTTTTTTTTTTTTTTAATGTATTTGGTACAGGGTTTCACTACAGCCTGGACTCCTAGTGATCCTCCTGTTTTCAGCCTCCGTAGGAGGCTGGGATGACAGGGCTGTGCCACCACAACAGGACTGCTCTTGGTGGCCAGCTCAGCAGATGTGGTGCTGGGGATTGAATCCTGGTCCCTGCGCTTGCCCAGTACCTGTACTTTCCTAAGCAGGCTCTTAGTTCGCTGAGCTGTCTTGCACGCAGGCCCTCACCCTTCCTGTTTTTTTTTTTTTTTGGCGGAACCGGGGATTGAACTCAGGCCCTTGCACTTGCCAGGAAAGCACTTATTCCACTGAGCCATCTCCCCAGTCCCTTCCTTTTTCTTATGTACTGGTAAGTGTGTGCTTTTAAATGGGACTCTAGGCTTGGCTGTTCTCAGTCTAGACTTTTACTTCTGATCCTGTGCAGTAGTCTGGGAGTCTCCCAGGGACCTAGCGAATCCTCCTTCGCAGGTGGGAAGAGGGAGGGAGACGCGCATGCTCATTGTTATGTATTATTCTTCTGTCAAAGTTGCAAACAATGCAGAAGGCAAAGTGATACTGTTGTCTGTAGGGTATTATGGGGGTGGAGGTGGGGGACAGCAAACCAGGGAAAATCCGACCAGATCTTAAAAGTTAATAAGGGTCTCTTGCTGCAGCAAAGCGAGTGGGAGCACCAGGAGCTCGGGCTCGGAGCGAAACACTTTCGGATTGTTTTAAGAAAATGGCAGACAAACCAGACGTGGGGGAAATCGCCAGCTTCGATAAGGCCAAGCTGAAGAAGACGGAGACGCAGGAGAAGAACACCCTGCCGACCAAAGAGACCATTGAGCAGGAAAAGCGGAGTGAGATTTCCT